ATTATTGATAAACATATAGAATTAATCAATATTTATCGATTATTGAAGGCAGCTCTTATCAATAAGAGCTTCAGCTTATGTAGATTTCCTGCATGCTCAATCAAGTCTACATAGCATTTCTAATCAGAAATTTAATAAGTTTATAACTAATGAGCGATAAACTTATCGATTATCTCAACCACTAGAGAACTATAGATATATAATCGAATACTTAAATAGAATTATATTTATATTTCCTTATCAACACTCCCCCTAACTCCCTCTCTCTCTCTTTGTGTGCCTGCTTTATGGTCCTCTTATCGATATTTCCGCACTGATTGATTTATCGTTTATCGCTGGCAAAATATTCAAAGCATTTCAATGCGTCGATTGGTGCGACGCGATTGGCAACGCTTATGTCACGGCAGCTCAACATATTGTTAATTAATTTGACAAGATGTTCGAGGCGTTTCATTGCCGCCCCGTTCCATGCCCGTTCCGTTTCGTATCGTTTCCATTTCGTTGCGCTGGCTGTGTGCTGCCGGGTGGCGCCAGCTGTGCCAACAGCAATTACAACAATCGCCAATTGCCAATGGTAATTGCAAGTGTGACTGCCAGCAACATGCGACGACAGCAACATGCAGCAGCAGCAACATGCAACAAGGATTGAGGAGTCAGTCAGAGCAGGCCAAGCCAGCCAGGCCAGGCCAGGCCAGGCCAAGGCAAAATATCGGAAAACTAATGAAAAGCCAAAGCCAAACATTTCCTCACGCCGCCAGCGAGCACTGACAACAATGCCTGCCTGGCTGCCTGGCTGCCTGGCTGAGTTGCCTCTCCTCACGTCTCCTGCATCGACAGCTGCTCGATGGATGGATAAATCGTTGCGCATTTATTGGACGCAACATGGACATGAACGTGCTGCCAAAACATTGTCAGGCAAACACAGCAACACAGCAGCAACAGCAACTGCAACAGCAACAACATCCAAGTCTGCCCCGGCGGGCGGACATGCTCAATGGAACGAGCGCCTCTGTCGGATCTTGGCAGCGCGATCACTCAGCCAGCCAATCAATTTGTTTGCAGCAACAGCAACAGCACAAGCAACAGCAACAGCCACAGCCACAGCTACAGCGGCAGCCAAATCAGCAAATAGCCTCAACAACTTGTCGAAAATCAAATGATGTGCCACCACGACAGCAGCAGCAGGAGCAACAGCAGCAACAGCAACAGCAGCAGCAGCAGCAACTGTTGCAAACCAGCCACGAATCATTTGTCGCTGCCGTTTGGCACGTCCGCGTCGTCAACATTGTTGTTGTTGCTGTTGCTGCTGCTGTTGTTGTTGTTGCTGTTGTTGCTGTGTTGTGGCTGCAATTTATGGCTTAGGCCAGGATCACAGCGCCAGCTAATCTTGCATGCGTCACAGTCACGCTGTGGCTCTACCGCAACCTACCTACCTCAACCCCTCTCCAGTTCCCCAACCTCACTCGCCCCTCCCCGTCCGCTGCCCATCGGCTGGCCTGGTCGCCTTGTCAATTGCGAATCTCTGCGCCTGGCTGATCATTTTGCTGGCTTATCGCCATTTGAGATTTATTGTGATGTCGTCTTGCCACAAGCTACGCCCAGACATCCACATCCCAGCCGTTAAGCACCGCCACCCACCTCACCTCCCCTCCCCCACCCCCTGCCGTTGCTGCAACGCATTTGCAGCTGTGGCACAGTTCCCAAAAAAAAAAAAAAACACAAGCAGCCAATACAGAAATCTATGAGCCGCAGTTAACTAGCGAAGTTCAAAGGTGCAAATGCGTTTTGTCTGTTTTGCCAGCCCGTAGTGCCACCCCCCCCCCCCTGTCTCACCACCAGCCCTGCCTGCCTGTGATCCTCCTGAAAGCTGATCTTGCTTTTATGGCACTCGGACTCGTTGCCCTGTCAAAGGCAGCCAGCCCCACGAGCACAGTAGCCAGGCGAAGCTCGCGCAGCTCCCTACAGACACGAGACGTAGCAGAGCCAGTTGCATTTTGGGGCCCAGGTCTGTTGGCCTGGCCTGGGCTGGCTAGGTCTGCCTGGGTCTGGCTCGGTCTGGGCCAGGTCTTTGCTGTTGTTGTTGCTGCTGCTGCTGCTGCTGCTGCTGCTGCACTGTGGCTCTGTGGCTGTTCCGCTCATTTGTTTGATCATTTGTTCGGACAATGGCAGCGCGTGAATTTATGCAGTGAAAAGCGCAGTCCAAACAGTCGTTTGTCGATTTTACCTCGATTGAACTTATGCAATGGCCCAAGGGGTCAGCCCCAGGCTCGACTCCCTCCACACAAGCATACCCCATGCACACACACATACATCTATGGCTACAGTACTGCAGTTGACACAAATTTTTCTTTACAGGTCAGAGATTTGGTGGAGAAGTGCACATGCCCCTCACAGTTTCCCATGGTGCGCGTTTCCGAGGGCAAATATCGCATCGGCGACACCAAAGTCCTCATCTTTGTGCGGGTAAGTTGAATCCAAGGCTGATAAGGCTTTACACTAATCTTGGCTGGCACTAAAAAACTGCTGCTCTCAGCTTGCATTTCAGCTATAAAAAACCTAAACATCAATTACAAAATTTGAATCTGGCTTTACTTTTAGCTAGCCTCCAGTCAAAACTTGTCTTCCGGTTAAATCATTGCTTAGTTTCTAGCTAGGCGTCCAGCTGGCTCTCTGAGTATAGAAATATCTGAGATCTATTTTAATTTCAAGCCAAACTTTTAACTTTATTCGTAGCTTATTTCGTTTTAAAATGAGGGAAACAAAAATGCACAAATAAAGAAGAAGTTTTATACAATTTTTATATAAAACTTTGTTCTTTACGAAAATTCTTGCTTATATTTTGAAGGAGATTTTGTTTTTAAACCAATCTCGCAGAAATCATAGCTCAACTTTCGTTAAGCCTTTGTGTTAAGCTTATGTATAAAATTCTAACCTTGATTCTGATTTAGCCTTTGTAATTGGGTTTTGAGAAACCTGCGGCATCAGATTCTAGCTAAACTTCTTGCTTCACTTGAAACAAAGTTTTCCGCTGAGCTTTTATCCAATAACTTGCCATTAAGTTTTTCGCTAAACTTACCACTAAGCTGTCTGCTAAATTTACATTTTAATGCTAAATGGAACTGTGGAATCATTTTATGCTCGGATCTCTATTAAAAACCGAGTAGATATCTTCCTGTACGACTGTCTGTCCGTCGTTTAGTCTGTCAGTCTGACTGAAGCATAGTCTGTATGTCTATCTGCCCTTCAGTCTGTATATCTATCTGTCCTTCATTCTGTCCGTTCTTCAGTCAGTCCGTCCTTCAGTCAGTCCATCCTTCAGTCTGTCTGTCTATCTGTGCTTTACTCTGTCCATCCTTCATTCTATCTGTCCGCCCATCTCTATGCCTTTCTGCCCATTTATCCATTCTACAAGGCTTTTCTCTGTAATCGATATATTTTTTATCGATCCAGTTCGATATAAATTCTGCTAAATCATACAGATATATGGATTGACATTTCTAGGAGATTATATGTATATTCCCATATGGACGGCTCAGCATCTCTGGCAGCTTCATCTGCTTGGGTCTCACCTTTACCTCTTCTATTTACAGATCTTGCGCTCGCATGTGATGGTGCGCGTGGGCGGAGGCTGGGACACGCTCTCCCATTATCTGGACAAGCACGATCCCTGCCGCTGTCGGGCCCAGCATCGCAGCTCGCTGCAGGCGCGTCTGATGATCCGCAACACGAGCAATTCCGGCAATGGCATTGAGCTGCACAAGGCGCATGTGATATACGAACGGTGAGTGACCCATTCACTAGCAGGTTAATAACTAGCCCAAACACCCCCCTCCCCGCCAGACCCCCTCCGCATTGGCCGCACGATGGGGCTAGATGCATTAAGTCGTTATCGCCCCGCTAATTGCATGCATAAAGCTGGATAATGACGGTGCGAGTGCGTTGCGAGCTCCAGAATCCGCAGCGAGTCGCGCCAAGTGGCCCATTAACAAGCTCCATTAAAGACACACTCGCAGCTAGCTCAGCCGGAGGAGGCGGCGGCGGCTAAAGCGGGGCGTTGCTGTGAATAGTCGTCAAATGCATTCGTTTAGCCATTCATGAATTAACGCGCTCATTCACCAAACGCAAATAGATGCTTATGCAATGCGGCTCCACTCGCCTCCTGCTCCCCGCTCAGAGTCCTGTTGGGCTGTGTGCATCTATCTCGTGGTTGCAGCTGAGCGCAGCCAACTTAACAGGCCCAAACAATTGTTAGCTTTTTAAGCTGACTGTGCTTAAAGCTTTAGCTGTTTAATCTTAAAGCGCAGCCAACTTAACAAGCTTAAAGCATTTGATTATTTAAAATTTCATTTGAAAGTCGCTATTCTGAATACTAGATGAACGTAATTCCCATTAATACTAGCTATATTCTATGGCACAAGGCTGTCATACCACGGCTTCGTTTATTATTGCACTCTGGAGAGATAAGAGCTTTGTATTGCCCACAATCGAGTCCCTATCAATGTGAACCAGAGCCCATAAAGCGTAAATAAGACTCAGCCGGTCTAAATGAGGTCTTCCACATCAGCTATCTATATAGTACTGGGCGAAACTATAGATAATATAAGAGTTTTGGAGTTAATACTTCCTGATGAGTCATAACTCAACCTATTCAACTTCAATTTTTGGATGTACCCATTTGATTTTGGGAAATACCTTTCGGGTTCTTGTGCACACATTCGGCTATCAATTGATATGGAGTTATACAACTTTTTCTAATCTAGTTCTTTGGCTAGTTATCGTTGGATCATTTCTATAGCTAATCAGTGCTCTGATGTTATTGTTATTTTCAATAGTTCCGTTTTGTGTTACGCCAAAAGAGCAATTACAGCTATTTATTTATAGACTTGTAAAATCGATAAGATATCGAAGCGCCGAAGTAAATCTATAGTGAACTAAAAAATAACAATGCACAACGGGTAAACGGCTAGAAAAACCAATAAAAAAAAACCTGCTCTACCCACTGCTGAATACTCTTTCCACATTTGATTAAAAACAAATTTAACTGTGGAGGATTTCGGTTTTGATGTATTGAATTGGATTGAACTCGATACGAATATAGTTTGTAAACGATTTGGCACGCCCATTAGAGTCAATTTTATATAATTTGTCAACTGTCTCTAGAATAGACTATATTTCACGCTGTTAGCTGGAAGGCTGTAAAGCTGTGGATGATAATACAAAGGATTTCCTGATATTTATATATAGATTATTTATAGATTGAGAAACACGCATATATAGATTAAAGAATCTAATCTAATAAGAATCTATCGCAATTTATAGCACCCATCGCTTTTTTTATTGCTCCAATATTTGCCATTGGAGCTATAGGTTATACTTTTACCACATTGGATATACATATATATATATATGTATTTTCATAATATCAAAACTTTTGAATGAACGGACAGCTTGTATCCGTTAAGCTTTTGCCTATCGATTGCTTATGCCATAATCGATTTCTTGCAGCTCACCACCAGCAGCTCGACGCGTGTTATCGAATGGCGCAACTGGTTCCGGTTCTGGTTCCGGTGCCGTTTCACCAGCCGCTGGCGCTGGCGGCACCTCACCCAATGCCAGTCTAGCATCCAATGGCGGCAGCGCCGTCGCCGTGAAGCATCGCAGTCGCAGCCCGACGCCACAGCGCAAGTTCTTGAACCAGACAAACGGATTGGCCCAGACCGGATTGGAGCCGTTGCCGGCGGGCTCGCCCTACATGGCCCGGCGCTCCATGTCGCCCAGTCAGCGGCGCATCAACGATATGCGCAAGAAGCAGAGCTCGCTGGACGGCTACAGCAGCGGACCGAAGTCGCTGCCCGCTGGCTCGGGCGCAGGAGGCGCAGATGGGCAGGAGGAGTCCACATCATCATCGTCGTCATCATCATCGTCGGCGGCAACGGCGGCAACAGTCGCTGCAATCGCCCAGCCCGAGCAGAGCAACAAGTTCGAGAACATCAGCGACAATGGCAGCGAGATCAGTGACGAGGGCTACCGCAGCCTGGGCGTCATCCAGTCGAATGCACAGAAGCGCGAGTCCCTGCACAGTCAGGCCTCCATCGAGGACGCTGAAACGAATGGTGAGTACAGATGGTAGCTCTTGGAGAACTCTCTCTGATCAGCTTGGGACGACTTGAATCTCTTTCATCTCCTCTACAGCGCGTCTCGATCAAACGTCAAGCGACTCGCAGAGCTCGCCCACGGATGAGCACGAGCAGGAGCACGAGCGGGAGCAGGAGCAGGAGCAGGAGCCAGTGCCTGAGGTGGAACTCAAGACGAATTGTGTGCAGGAGGCAGAGCCGGTGCCAGACTACTCCATCTGCGAGCTGGACGGACCCCAATCGCTGCCCGCTGTGCTGCCCTGGCGCAAGACCGCCTGCGCCAGCAAGTTTGAGCAGTCCGGCGTGTTCATTACGGATGATGAGATTACAGTGACCACAGATCCAGCAGAGGCGGTGCCAGTGCCAGTGCCAGTGGGAGTGGCATTGGCAGAGCCAGAGACACAGGCAGAGGCAGGCGGCAACAAGGCGCCGCCGGCAGCGGGTCTCAGCAAGATACCGCGCTCGCCCCTCGCCAGCCGTCGGCGCCGCAGCAGCATCGACAACAGCACCTGCGGCAGCAGCAACGGCGGCAGTCTGCAGGACTTGCACAGCATCAACCGGAAGCAGCCGGTCTATCGGTCGGTGCGTCGCCCGCCGGCCACGCCCAGGCCGAAGGCCTCGCAGCTGCCGCTGGTGCGCGACGTGACCAACACGTGGAGCGGACGCAGTGCACCCCAGAATGGAATCGCCGCTAGCAAGAAGCGGCCCACCATCAATCCGGATACGTTTGCGCCGCCCACTGGCGCAGCCGCTGCGACGTCCACGTCGCCGTCGCCGTCGCCCTTTGAGCGCGGCAGCAAGACGCGCCACTCGCAGATCCTCTACGACAGCAACGGACGGCGGGTGCGCGGCGGCTGCAGCAGCTCGCTGACGACGTCGCCCGTGAAGAACCATGCCGCCTCGCCGCTGGCCCAGCAGCTGCTCGAGGCGGCGAGCAGTTCCAAGAATGATGCACAGATTCTGGAGAAGATGAAGTCGCTGCTCTATCGCTATGCCGCCGGCAATCAACAGAAGCAGCAGCCACAGCAGCAGCAGCGGTCGGGCAATGGCAAGAAGACGCCCGTCTACGAGGACTTCACATCGGCCTGGGTCCACAGCAACGGCAATTTGGAGCGCTCCGAGAGCTGCTCGCCGCCGGCCAAGGCGCGCTCCAAGCGCAGCTCGGCCGCCTCCTCCTGCGGCAGCAACAATTCAGCTGGAGCTGCCGCTGCTGCTGCAGTCATATCGCCACGCAGGGAGCGCGGCCTGTCCAAGATTCCGGCACCAGTGCGTCAGCACACGGAGCTTTATTAACGGCGCGCCAAGGCGCAAGCCAGGCACAGCCCGATCACAGCGAAGCAGGGGCGCCCTAGACCATAACTAAGCTAAAGGAATTGTCCGTCTATATGTCTGGGTGGTTTGTTAGATTGTAGCGAACGCAGCCGTTCCAATAGACCTCAGCAAGCTAACAACATACTCGTCTCTCTCCACACATACATATATATATATGTATATATATATACAAGAATACAGGAATAGGAACTGAAGGAAAGGGAAAAGGAAAATCAATATAAACTGCAACTGCCTCATTAGATCCCCAGGAACTCGGCCAATCCATGCACCAGTGCCAGCAGCAATCATATTCCAGAGTAATCCTTAAGCACGCCACGTCTACTCGCTGTTCTTGCTGAACACTCTCTGCTCTATGCTAAACTCTTACTCCTAACTCTTATCATGTCAGCTTACTCGTTGCTGACACTCGCTGCTTCGTCTCCTTACAACTAACGAGTGGAGGCGGTGTTTAAGAGCTGTACTGCAGCAATGCTTCCATTAGCTTCACGGTCGTCACTCGTTGCATTTCTATCAAGCGAGTGACGAGTGCAGCTAAGCTCTCGTCTCTCTCGTTACTCTCCTGGAAAGTAAATTGATCGCTACTCGTCACATTTCTATCTAGCGAGTAACCAGTAAAGCTTAGCCCTTTTACAGAAGTCAATGACACTCTCTCGTTCTACTCGCTCGTCTAGCAAGTAGAACGAGTCGCTACTCGCGACTCGCCACTCGCTACTCGTCGTGATTGCTTGTGGCCTGCGTGCCGTGCGATGCGTCGAGAACCAAACATTTACAATCCAAAATTGAGACTTTCAAACTACAATTTTAACGTTTCCTCTTCTATATACATATATACGGATTTTTTCGAATAGAACCTAAAGATAAGATAGTTTTTTTTTTGGCATACAAAATCTTAAGGAACTCTGATGCATTGCTCYCGTGATAGATCTTAGAAGCAACAGCAAAGAAAATACAAAAAAAAAAAAAAAATTAAATAAATTTAAAAACATAGAAAGCGCATAATTTTCTAGAAGTTTTACGATTAGTGTACGCACACTCACACACCCACGCTCACGGCATGCTGAGAGTAAGAGAGAGTGGGAGAGAAACAATTTGTAAATAGGAAAAATAATGAGGAAGAAAAGAACTTTTGCCTAATTAATTGGGTTTATGTAATAAAAGGTAACTAATTAGGACTGATTGTAGAGCATGCATGTGTGTACATGTATGCGTATGTGCATGTGCATGTGTATGTGTGTGTGTGTTTATATATGTGTGCGTACTTAATTATTTCCAGCATAGCCTTAAAAAGAAAATGGAAAATTTATTTTTATACGCAAGCCATCAAAGTGAAAAACGAGGGAATAAAATGAGAAAATTTTAAACAAAAACAAAATTACGATTTTACATGACGACGTAAAGGTATACAAACCATAAGAAAGGAGCAGACATAATAAAAAACAACAACATCATAATAATTACAAGCAACAATAATAATAGTTAAAAGCACAGTTGAGCATTAGTTAGGATTGTTAGAGCAGCTGTCGAAGAACTTAATGAATTTTGGTGCTTTACATAGGTCAGGCAAAAACCGAAGATAATTTCCATATTATGCCCCCAAATCAGAACTATATATAGTACATATATAAAGGTCACAAAAAGTTTTCGAATTTTAAGTGTAATGCTTCTTATACTATATATACTCCCCATATAACTAAAAAAAAAAACAAAAAAATAAAACAAAACTTAAGAAAACCCATAACCGAACTATGTAAAAGCCTAATATAATATTTCATTTGACCACAAAATATTAGAATAAT